GTAATTTTATTTTAAACAGGTTGAATAAATAAAGTTTACATTTACATGATAAATAACATGCCATGCATTTTAGTGGTCACTTTTTTGATAGGTTTAGTAGCTTGTTCTTACCATTTTTGTTTGTGTTTTTTTCCAGGGAATCTTAGATATTGTAGTCCTAAGTAAAGGATATACAAAGAATGATTTTGTCATCCATACACTAAAAAATAACTTTGAAGCAGATGCTTATTTTGTTAAAGTCATTGGTGAGTATTTTAAATATTAACATTTAATTTTGTTCTCTCTCTCTCTCTGTCTCTGTCTTTCTGTCCCTTCCTGCACATACTCCAAAGAGCAAGGACACACTCCTGTCTGATCCACATTCAGCCCTCCAGATCAGGAGATCAGCTTCAGCATAACGCCATGCTGTCTGTACACATAGACCTCATTCAGATTTCACCAGCTGTCCCAGCAATGGGACAGCTTTTTTTCTTTCTGTTCCAGTATTCTGTCCAGAAATACCTATTGCATTTAATTTTCCCATCTTATCAGACTTCTTCAATCTAGATTTTTCTTCAATTCTGTTTTTCATCTCCTTATCAGTTTAAAGAATATGGGCTTTACATTCTGTGAAGTAACCCTGTTTCCTCATTACACAACTCAGGGCACGAATTCTTTGCAGAAATTCCACTGCAAGGAATTGCAGAATTGATGCTGTGTGCTTCCCAGCGCATCATACCAGGAAGCACACGATGTTGGCCTGTCCCAGCACCGTGATGCTAACCATGCTCACCTGGTCATGTGGATGATTGCCAGGTCTCTCCACCTTAAACTCACGTTTTCTCCTTTGTAATTGATTAATATTTTGTGGGGAGATACTCTGGTATTACTTTAATATGCTTTTCCATATCAAACCTCTACCTTCCATTCTTAGAGTCCATTGAGAACTCCTACCTGAATCAACCTTCTGTGTTTATCAAATAGAGATTTTCTATTCCCATCATTCCTTCCACATTTATAAGTTGGCATTCTGCTGTCATCCTTTACCTCCCTTTCCCTAAGCCTGGAATCAGACATTCTTCAAGGACCCCTGGTTCCTTTTAGTAGAGGATGGTATTTGAAAACCCAGTTCTGGATGTTCAGTATGCTCGTCGCTGCTGGGTTGTCATTTCTCCCAGGTTCTGTCAGTGCACAGAGCTGCAAAAATACAGGTATGTCTTCACATGCATACCTACAAATATACACATCTCTAACTGTTTTTACATCTATTTTTATATATATATATATATATATATACTGTAAAACCATGAATTCATAGCAGTAATTCCATTTCTAATCTGACACAGCACTTCAGAGTTCTTTCTCATCTTTTCCGTATCTGTAGATATCTTCTCTAGAAGTGAGAAACTTGCCTTCCGTTATCCTCAATATGTTACTTATTTGTTCACTATAACCAGTTGCCAACCTTCTCCTCCACAGATATCCATGTTTGTCATAAAGACCCTGTACATGTTTTGTTAAGTATATGCCTATTTTATTTTCTTTGGAATGGTTATAAATATTATTGTGTTTTTAAGTTTTGTTTCTACATGTTTGTTTTTAGTATATAGAAATAAAATTGGTTTTTGTGGGTTGATCTAATATACTGCAACCTTGCTCAACTGACTCACTGGTTCTTGGGATTTTCTCCATGGACGAACATGTCCTCTGCAAAGAGGGATAATTTCATCTGTCTCTTGTAAGCTATATGCTTTTATTTCCTTTTCTTGTGCTTACTAGAATTTTCATTACTATGTTGAATAAGATTGGTATTCACTTTTATTAATAATAACAAAACATCCTTGCCCTTTTTCCAATCTTAAGGGGAAAGCATTCCATCTTTCACCATTAAATATGATATTAGCTATAAGGCTTTTTTTTAGATGCTCTGTATCATATTAAAGAAGTTCCCTCTGTTCCTCATTTGCTGAGCATTTTATCATGAATTGGTGTTGGAAGGTGACTGTTTTTGTGTTGCTATTATTATAGCCAACACCAAGACAGCCATATCAATTCATTTGTCAACAAAATGGCATATGTACTTTGTAGAAATATTTATTACCATTTTTAAATGAGCATAAATAGCTGAACACAGAAAAGCAACAGAATAGTGAATAAGTATTGAGATTAATTTTGAGAGGTAAAATTGACAAAATGCATATCCTTCCTTTTCTAAACAGCAAATTCACTCTTATTTAATCTGAGTAGCTCCCATCTTCATTATTGCTGCAGCCATAAAATACTGATATATGAATCTAATGATCATTTTTATACTTTCATCATCCATCTGACCAACTCCTCTCCTTTGCCATTTTCAAGAAGGTATTATTTGTCTATTTTAGAGCTAAGAAAATTAAAATGTACTGTTTATTTGGTATGCTACTAACTTACATAGGTTGAAGTATATTTTCTTATCTCAGTGGTTTTTCTTCAACTTCCAACCTCTAGATATTATGACAAGGAGTCCTTAAAACTTTTGCTAACTCTGGGC